TTCTAGGTTGAGGGTCTAGAAATACAATAGATGCAAATAGTCAAGGAAAAAGCAATACAATAAACACAAATAGTCAAAGAAAAACCAAGGGATTAAACCCAATTACATGAACACTACTGTGATCATTGTTTCTAAAGACTTATCAGGATGACCAAAGTATCTGAGCCTACTTCCCTGTCCTATCCCAAGGTCATTTTCATGTCTGTTCTACCCTAAAATTTAGGCTCCTGTCTGTAATTACTTATTTGATCTAGCCTAATATTTAAGTTCCTGCCTGAGATTTCTTCCTTGTTCTAGCCTAAGATTTAGATTCCTACCTGAATCTAAATTACTTATTTAGTAATCTTCTTTAGTAAATCTAGATTATTTCTTTGTTCTAGCCTAATGTCCAATTCCTGCCTGAAGCCTACTTCCTTTTCCTTGGCGAATGTCATATTCCTGCCAAGCAGCTCATTTCCTTATCCTTGGCCCATGTAAGATCCTTGCCAAACAACCCCAAAGGATCTATGCCTCTCCCCCACTTTTTTTTATTTCATTAACAAAACTCATTCTGACATGAATGCCTTCCTTGCCCATCATGGAATATGCATTATCGAAAACAATGTACTTCTGTATTAGGTTTGTAAGACTCTGTGCAGAATCTTATCCGTCTTTGACTTGACAGCCTGTTAAATTAATAACTCTGTCTGGGGGTCCATTTTCAGGTTAAAGGCATGTACTTGGCTGCCAACATGTTGATGTTGTTGAAGAAAACCATTAACACAACGGGCAGGAATAAAAGTATTTCCAGGACAAATAGGGCTAACATGATCAAGCTATATATACCATTTTTGAAACTTAATTAAAATAGAAATAGGTCATGGGTAATTTTATCTGCGGTATCTACCGCATCAATGCTCAGCAGAGCAGCATTCTTGAAATTCAAAAGCTCCCTATGTATCATTAAAACATTCCAAGAGGCATTAGAATTATGACAAATACACTGCACATGTCATTAAACTTCTTCCGAATTATAATGACTACTACTGTAAATTGTAGAACTGACATAAATCCAATGGTATTTGGCATGAAGATGGCTCCTAATCCTTAAATTCTGAACCTCCTTCCAGTAATTTGAATAGGATAAAGAACATCAATCCATTCTTTCAAATGCCTATCTAAATCCCCTGATATATTCAACACATTAGTAACTTTTTTTTTTTGCTAAATAATTAACAAAAATTTGGAATGCTTCATGAATTTGCATGTCATTTTTGCTCAGGGACCATGCTAATCTTCTCTGTAACATTCCAATTTTAGTTTATGTGCTGCTGAAGTGAGCACTACTTTACTTTTCAATCTGGGCAAAATGGTTCTTCAGAATGACCTTATAGATACAATTAATGAACAGCTTTATTAAATGTTATAAAGGCCATAATATAAAATATAACTAGTTAAATCATATCAACTTGCTTGCCTCACACAGCTTTCTCAGAACAGAGTTGCTGAACCAGATGAGGTTTGGCAATGTAGCATATTAAGATTGATTTTTTTCTGACTGGTATTGCTAAAATATTAATGTAATGAAAAAATAAACTTTGGTATTAAATTATAATAAATACTGGGCAAAACAAAACTTCAGTATTTGGGAATATAGAAACTGTGAACAGAAAGAAATCAATGGCCTGGGCTTTTTGATGTTGTTGTTGCTGTTGTTGTTTTGATTGACAAAAATATAAGCAGCCCTCGCTGCTGTACAATAACTGATTATGTGTTTCTTCCCTTGATACTCTTCTACAGAGACAAACTACCATTCATGGGTGAAGACAATAGAACCTCTGTTACAGAATTCATTTTCCTGGGCCTCTCACAGGACCCACAGACACAAGTCCTGCTCTTCTTCCTCTTCTTCCTCATCTACCTGCTCACTGTGCTGGGAAACCTGCTGATCATCGTGCTCATCCACTCAGACCCCAGACTCCATACCCCCATGTACTTTTTCCTTAGAAACCTGTCCTTTGCTGATCTCTGCTTTTCTACTACCACTGTGCCCCAGGTGCTTGTCCACTTCCTGGTGAAGAGGAAGAGCATTTCTTTTGCTGGATGCTCCATACAGTTAGTCGTGTTGCTTCTGGTAGGATGCACAGAGTGTGCACTGCTGGCAGTGATGTCTTATGACCGCTATGTGGCTGTGTGCAAGCCTCTGCACTACTCCACCATCATGACATACTGGGTATGTGTCCAGCTGGCTGCAGGGTCCTGGGCCAGCGGTGCACTTGTGTCCCTGGTGGATACCACATTCACATTGCGTCTTCCTTATCGAGGAAACAATGTCATTAACCACTTTTTCTGTGAACCTCCTGCCCTTCTGAAGCTGGCTTCAGCAGACACTTACAGCACAAAAATGGCCATCTTTGCAATGGGTGTGGTTATCCTCCTAGCACCTGTCTCCCTCATCCTCACCTCTTATTGGAACATCATCTCCACTGTGATCCAGATGCAGTCTGGAGAGGGGAGACTCAAGGTCTTCTCCACCTGTGGTTCACACCTCATTGTTGTTGTTCTCTTTTATGGATCAGGAATATTTGCCTACATGAGACCAAATTCCAAGATAATGAATGAAAAGGATAAAATGATTTCGGTGTTCTACTCAGCAGTGACCCCGATGCTGAACCCCATCATATACAGCCTGAGAAACAAGGATGTCAAAGGGGCTCTCAAGAGAATAACTTCAAAATAATATATTTGGAATGTGTCATGATTGAGCTGACCATTGTATGAAAAGAAAACAGGGAGGGGGTTGTTATTTTTGTTTTGTGTTTTTAAAATAATGTTTTCCTTCTTTTACTCTTTTTTTCCTGTTCCTTCTATTTTCCTATGTTTTCCTCTGCTTGATAGCTTTGTGAAAGAAATTAAATTAAAGGTAAAAAATTGTAAGTAAAAAGAAATTAGTGAATAGATGTGACCATAAGAAGGGAGGAAATAAAAAAGGAAGAAAAATAGATAGAAATGATGAGCGAGGAGAAACAGCAAAGAAGTTTTTTCTCTATTAAGTCATACAAGTCAATTTTAGAAAAATTGCCCTAATTAGGCATCTAAGTATATGTCAGCAAACATGAAAAGAACAACAAAACCATCAAAAGGATTTATGGGTTCATAGTCATTTTCTTCAATTATGTTTTAAAGACACATTTCCCTAGGGCCTCTTCATAGAATTTAGGACATAAATATAACACTTCTGATTCATTGTGACATTCCCTATAATTTTATAATGACATTTCTTATCATTGTAAATAGATTAAAGTATATAAAAACAAATAATAGGATTATTTGATTTTTGTTTTATTAATCTTTTAGTTGGTATGAATTGAAGAATTATTAAATATACAGGCCACATTGAGAACTTTCTTCCCCAAACCTCCATATACTTTTGTGTCTTTTTATTCTCCCACTTCCACTATGTTCTGAGAGACAGAATCATTTCCACTTTTACATATCCATGTATAATTTTTGTAACTTTGTAATATCTGAAAATAATAAAGATAAAAATATTTTCTCTGTAAATGGACTAATTTGCTTACATAGACTGTGTCCATTCACCCATTTCCCTCCAACTTACTATTATGTATATGCAGCCTGATTTATTCATTCTCTTGTTTAATGTTACCCGACTTGGTTTGATAACTTAGCCATTGAGAACAGTGTTGCAAAAATACTAATGGGCAGCCATCTCTGTGATGTATTAAATTGTAATCATTCAATTAAATACCTAGGAGTTACTTTTAAAGTCATATAACAGCCTATATTTATGTGACTACATCATTTTTACTATCATAGTTTTTGCCAAGGCAAAAAAAATGTTGTGAATAAACTATTTAAACACATTTTACCCTATGATGCATTAGGATAGCTGAGAATTCCTTCAGTAAAAGCTTTTCTATTTGCCACTATCAACACATTTTTATTTAATAGTTCATCTAATTCTTGTCTCACTGAGGTTAACTATTCTTCATCACCCTGAATTATTCATAAATCCCATGTTCTCTATTGTTCTCTTCCTTATAGTCCTTCAAGTATTATCCAGGTCTGACTTGCATAATAACAGTTGAATATGATGTGGGAGGACATGTATCTTTCTCTATTCTGTCCCCTTCTATGCCTTCTTTGTTTATGACACTCATTTACTGCTTCTAGATCTATGCACAAATAATTCTTAACTTCTTGCTATTCCATGTCAGAATTAGCATTTTCTGTCTTATTTCTTGTCACTGTTGATGTATTACTGAGTTGATTTATTTTTAAGGAGCTGAATTTCTATGGTTTGTTGGTGATGCTGTTATAACTGTATTTTGTCTGCTCCCTTTGTGGTACATGGGAATAAGCCCTCAAGGGAATAGTATTTACTAAAGAGATAACCAATTAAAACTGAAGAAGATATTCAAACTCACACATGTACAAATACAATATATAAAACACACACAATATATTAGTAGGAATAATTTTATTATTATGTTCATTTAGCAAAACAATAGTAGTAGGCTTTCCCTAGGGCCTATGACCTATCTAGTCTCAGGCTGTCTCCCATTTTTTTCAGTGTCGCATATGGGTTCCATTTTATGGCATGGGCCTCAAATATAATATTTAAAAGTGGTTGGTTACTATCATCACATTTATCACACTATTGCACAAGTATTTTTTGCAGGAAGGATACCACTGTAGTTCTTAGGGTCTGTAGCTTGTGATGTTTACTGTTTTTCTTCTCTAATAGTATGCATTGTACTGTGCAGCAACATGAATGTTAGTCAGCAGGAGAGAAGCTTCTATTTGAAAACCAGCTTGTTCTCCATGTTATCCATGTTTTATGACATAAGTAAGTGGTGTCTCCAGCAACAGGGCCTTACTATTAAGTTGTACAGGGTAATCAAAAGCATTGGCAGTAGCCTGTAATGTTTGGAGGATCCATTAGACTTTATTGTCCTATGAATTGACAAGGTGTAAATTATTCCTGGAACCAGGAAGTTTTCCATGACAGTTTAAGATGTCTAGATGGGGTATTATTTCCTCCCATTACATTTTAATCCTATTTAAATTCCTTTTGATATGTGTACATATTTTAGGAACCTTCCATAAAAATAGGCTTCCATGTGAGTTTTCAAAGGACCTTTTGTGGTTGTTGTCACTCCCAGTGTTCCCATCTTTATCCTACCCTTCCATTCTCTTTACCACTTAATCTTTCTCTTCAGTTTTATCTTTATAACATTTTCTCATTTATATTACTGTGTTCTATTTCCTCTTCCTGGAAAATTCTCTTTCCCTTGGTCCCTTAGTAGCTACCTAATGTCTATGAGTATTCTAAATAAAACATACACATCTAAACCTTAAGAAATAACAATCACCTTCCACTTTACATCTGTGTCCCAAAGCCAATCCTATGCCACAGCTCTCTGTACCCAAATCTTACCTGGAGAGAGCTGGTCTCCCAGGAGTGCTGTCATACCTAACAGGTGAGACCACCACTACTGTTCCAAATACCTAGCCCAAGATGGACATGCAAGGAGCCCATAGGGCACAAGAACCACAGAGCAGCCAGGAACAGAATCCTTCCATTTCCCATCTGTGCTCCACAGCTAACCCTGTGCTACAGCTCTCTGTATGGACACTACCAAGACAAAGCTGGTCTCCCAGGAGTGCCAACATACCTAAGATCATCTAAGATCACAGGCTCACAGACTCAAAGGCTTACAGGCTCACAGGACAAACAAGTTCCAGTCAGAGACAGAAAGACCAGCTAACACCAGAGATAACCAGATGGAGAGAGGCAAACACCAGTACACAAGCAATAGAAACTGAGGCTACTTGGCATCATCAGAACCCAGTTCTCTCACCACAGCAAGCCTTTTATATCCCAACACACCAGGAAAGCAAGATCCTGATTTAAAATCACACCTCATGATGATAGAGGGCTTTAAGAAAGACATAAATAAATCCCTTAAAGAAATATAGGAGAACACACATAAACAGAAGCCCTTAAAGAGGAAACATATAAATCCCTTAAAGGAATACAGAAAAACACAAGCAAAAAAAAAAATGAAAGAATTTAACAAAACCATTCAGGACCTAAAAATGGAAATAGAAACAATAAAGAAATTACAAAGGGAGACAGCCCTGGAGAAAGAAAACCTAGGAAAGAGATCAGGAGTCATAGATGCAAGCATCACCAACAGAGTACAACAGATAGAAGAGAGACTATCAGGTGTAGATACCATAGAAAACATTGACACACATCTGAAATTTAAATAAATAAAATATCATATAAAAAAGAAATGTATTCAACAAAAACTTTA